AGAAGGTAAACACAAGTTAATACTAGGCTTTAGCTCACAATAGGCTTGAACATCAAGCAGACCAATCACTTGCAAAACTTCTCTTCAGTGCTAACCTACAAGGCACCAAAGCCATTCAGATTTCTTTTCTTAAAAGAATAAATTACTGTTGGCAGAAAGTTTTATGATTGCTGGGCAAATTAGTGTTGTAACCAACTCAAAATATGACCAGCTGCAAAGCAGGGAAGCGTGAAAGGTGAAAATAAAGGACAACACCCTACAGACTAAAAATTAATAGGAGGTCATCTGGAAAACACACAAGTGACAACTGGAATCCAAAGATCTTGAATTTATGGACAGCTAGAACAACCACTAGAATAAGATACATGTGTAAGCACTAATCAGTAGCTTCCCTACTACTTACTCTCTCAGTAGGAAAAGGGTTTTGACAGATTAAAGTGGTCTTGGCTTACTCTGGATAAAGAGCTGCAAGCTCTAGACAGACTCGCACAGGAACTCTCCAGCAGCTGGGACCCTGTCACTGCTTCTCCACTTGTCTCTAGAGTCCCATGTTGGGTGGTAAATGGACAGGAGAAGATCGCATGGCTCCAGCAGCCGCTGCCTCTCCTTCCACCAGCCTTCTCAGCTCTGCTCATGCTATCAGCCCCATGCCTGTTCTAACTGCCTTCTGGACACATCTCCCATTGCGTTCCCTCCAACATTCAGGCAATATTCTCTCAGGACTGATTCCCTTTACCAACCCTGTAAGGAGGACCCCTGCTTCTGTGGGTGACTCTTTTCATCACTCCATAGCCCACTGTTTGTACTTCAGAAGCAAGCAGTAAAAGTACCCCTCTGCAGTCTCTCTGAATCAAGCCCATCATAGGACCGCAAATCCAGTTGCCTTCAAATGCCATCTTTGTCTCAGATACCAAAACCAGTATGCCTGCTCATTTCTTTCCTGCTCCTAGCTACTACCCAGACTCTGAACGGAAAACATTTAGGGCTTTTGGTTTAGGAATTTTTTTATTATTGAGGTTGAGGAGGAATGTCCTCAGATCAGTGTGCCGAGTTCCCAGTGGGTACCAGAGGCTATGCAAGGTGTCAGGGCTGTGCAGCTGGGAGCAGGGGTAAAAAAGGAACTCTCTCTTCTTCCAGTGGTAGCAAGTCATTAGATTGGCTCAATCAATCTCATGACACCACAACCTGAAGCTAAGATTCATCAGGTCCTGGTCTCCAGGACCCTGTTGCTGGAGAGAAAAAAAAACAGCAGATTCCCTGGTTAGATAGGTTCATTACAAGGATTACTGAAATTCCTTTCAAGGTTGCCTGCAGCTGCTAAGCAGATAGCCAGGAATAGTATTTGCTTGTGTCCCCTAAGAGCATCACTGTTTAGTGCATGCTGATATTAAGTGGAGCGTTGTATGTTAACTGGTACACACATACTCAGAACATTTTTCCGTCTTACACCTACTTCAAACTAAAGCATATCTTCTCATATCCACATCCAAGCTCTGTGAATAAACAGTATTTTTCTTAGTCATATTTGCTGCAATGAGATTTGGTTTTGTTCAGTGGATCTACATTTAAGAATGACTTTTCCAATTAATCAGTCCTTTGCATATTTTATATATGGAAAACTAAAAATATTGTAAGATAATATGTGAATAAAAAAACACATTAAAATTCATAAACTGCTATCATCCAATTTACTTCTCTTTACTATATCACCAGCTAATCAAACACAGCAGTATTTGTGGAAGATATCTTCCTCAATTTTCCTTTCTAGGCCTCAGAGATGAAGGTTTTCCTTCTGCAGAACAGGTTTTCCAAAGAAAAATAAAATAAACCAGAGGACACATGCAGACTCAAGAGAGAACAGAGAATAGTGCAAATTTCCTTGCCCCAAACATCCACATAGACCTTGAAATTACCATTCCACACGCACCAAAGAAAGTCTGTATGTGATGCATTACATTACACACACCTCTGCACTCATTTCAAAGTCCCTAGTGTTTAAGAGAAGGCAACTGCCTAAGCAGAAATCTTCCAAGAATTCAATTTCTCTTCTGTATCTGTCTTAAAAAATTATAGCTCCAAAGTACAGAACCCTTCATTTACAAAGATTTGGGAAAAACCTCCAAGTTCTGAGGTACATTGTCAGATTGTTCATTTGCATTTTCAATCTGAATATAACTATCTCAATTCTGCAGAAAGCCTACAAAAGAATTGAGCAACTGACCCTAAGGAGATTATAACTTTTCTCTGCCATCTTCAAAGTTTTAGTAAGTGTTGTTATAGCCATTATCTAAATCAGGGCTACAACTATACTGTTATATATATGGAATACTCTGAAACTTGACATTTGCATGGCTATATAAAAAAGAATTCAATTTCAAGTTGAAATACTCAATGAAGTGCTTCAAAATAGAGTATTTACTTAGGATCTCTGGCTCCTCTATTTCTTATTTCTGAAGACCAATAGAGATCTCCCATAGTTAAAGGTTCTTATCAACCTTTCCTTCTCCTCAAGGATCAAGAGTATGAACAACAGCTTCAAAAGGAAAATCACAGAATCATAGAATCATAGAATGGTCAGGGTTGGAAGGGACCTCAAAGATCATCCAGTTCCAACCCCCCTGCCATGGGCAGGGAAACCCTCCACTACACCAGGTTGCCCAAAGCCTCATCCAACCTGGCCTTGAACACTTCCAGGGATGGGGCAGCCACAACTTCTCTGGGCAACCTGTTCCAGTACCTCACCACCCTCAATGTAAAGAATTTCTTTCTTATATCTAATCCAAATCTGCCCTCTTTCAGTTTAAATCCATTGCCCCTTGTCCTATCACTACATGCCCTTGTAAAAAGTCCCTCTCCAGCTTTCCTGTAGGCCCCCTTTAGGTACTGGAAAGCTGCTATAAGATCACCCCAGAGCCTTCTCTTCTCCAGGGCTGAACAGCCCCAACTCTGTCAGCATGTCTTCATAGGAGAGGTGCTCCAGCCCTCGCATCATCTTCATGGCCCTCCTCTGGACTCGTTCCAGTAGCTCCATGTCCTTCTTGTGTTGGGGACTCCAGAGCTGAACACACTATTCCAGGTGGGGTCTCACGAGAGCAGAGTAGAGGGGCAGAATCACTTCCCTCGGCCTGCTGGCCACGCTCCTTTTGATACAGCCCAGGATACGATTGGCTTTCTGGGCTGCCAGCGCACATTGCCGGCTCATGTTGAGCTTCTCATCCACCAGCACTCCCAAGTCCTTTTCCTCAGGGCTGCTCTCAATCCATTCTCCGCCCAGCCTGTATTTGTGCTTGGGATTGCCCCGACCCACGTGCAGGACCTTGCACTTGGCCTCGTTGAACTTTATTATTAGGTTCTCACAGGCCCATCTCTCCAGCCTGTCAAGGTCCCTCTGGATGAAGGGTTATAGGTATGAAAGTAATTCCCCAAAAGTCACACAAAAAAACCCAAACAAACAATAAACCTTCACATGTGAACTAAGCCCTGATATAAATCAAAGAACAACACTTGTTCAAATTCCAGTGTATTCTCCCTACAGCACCATGTGGCCTAAATAATCAAATGACTGTCATTAAAAATATAGTGAAAGCATAGCACATACATTTAACTTGTGATGTACATTTGGCTCTTGTTATGGTTGAGATTTAAGAGTTATTCACAGTGGTCCACGTCAACTCATTTCCTCTCAATAACACAGTAAGTTATTCCTACAATTCAATTATTCAATTTACATTCCAAAGCTGTGGAACGCTATTACTGTAAAGCATCAGCAACAAAAAGTTTCACAGAGAATAAGAGTAAGAAACACACATTAGCATAAGACTGTTGATTAAATGATTAACATAGACAAAAAGTCTCTGAGGGTACCTGACTAGATTCACGCATTTATACTATGGTAGATGAAATACAGCTTCATCTCCAACAAAACAGAAAGTCAGTGTGGGATTATTTCTTTCACATAGTTGAGCTGCCTGTTTCATTAAACCTCTGAGCACATGCATCAAGCCAAACTGGTTATTACACACTCACTTCTTGCCCTTGGACCTCCTTTGGAAACTAAAGAACATTCCCACATGAATACGAATGTCAGTTGCACCTCTGATTCAGTGTTTCCAAGCTCAGTGTGAATGATCACTTTACCTTCGCCATCACAGACCTCTCAACAGCATACTGGGAGCCAAAGTGCAGTTTCTTGCTGCAATCTCATGTTCCATGGAGCGAAATCCATTAAGGGGGCACAGAAGACAAAACCTACAACTAACTGAAAGAATAAGTAGAAAGCGTACTAGTAAGTACAACACTAACTACACAAGAAGAAAGCAAGCCAGATACAGCAATATTAAAAGATTTCTGCAGACTTTAAATTAAGCTTTAAAATGCTTACAAGCACTGTTGTGCTGCTTTTAGCATAACTAAGGCCAAAAAGACATGGAAGGGAAGACTTTAAGGACATGACAGTAGGCAGGAAGCACAGAAACAGTTTCACATCTAGTTGCTAGAACACACCACAGCATACAGGGTCAGACCAGTTCAGGTAGCCACAGGGAACAAAATTAAGGTACACGTTAAATCTAGTCTATCCAGAGAGAGAAAAGAAATTACTACCTGCTTTCCTGATTAATATTCATGTAGTTTTACACTGGTGATTAGTTTATAAAATAAGTGTTCGAGGCAGTATTACTCTATTCATGCTAAACTTTCCACCTGCCTGTAACACTGAAGCCATTAGTCCTTTGCAACTTCAAAAGTGAAGCTCAAGTAAGCTTGGGCCACTAATTACTTTTTCTTAAGAACAGTATGAATTTCCAGTAGATGGATTCTTCTGTTTCAATTAAGATTTAAAAAATTACTTTTGATATGTATTTCTTATGGTTTCTCCAGAGCAAATAAATAATTAAGATACACTGAACTTCAGATATATATTAAGAATTTTATTTAGCAAATTTTGTTTGCACACCAGCACTAGAAATAATATATTTGGAAAAAGTGTATTTTTTTTTGATAGTTTTAGCTATAAAACCTAATGAACTGCATTGCATGGAAGTACTTTTGTTCTCCCACAGGAAGCAGAAATGCCATCTATGTCACAAGAGAGCTTTCTGCAAGCAACTGCTTTGTGTATCACACATTCTTTACATCATTTTGCAGCATAGCTATGCTGGGGATCAGTCTTACTATGCTGAGAAAACAGCATCTCTACATTTTTAGTCCCCAAGTTGCTATGTTCAACCCATAGGCAAAAGCACCTCCTAATTGCACCGTGGACAATTACTTGCACAAGGAATAGAAACTGAGCTTAAAGAAAAACATAATTTGCAAGCCTGATGTGAGGGTACCTCATTACGGCATTTCCACATGACTATTTTTTCATCTAATTTTTAATTTGTGTTTTTATATCATTTGGCACATATCCCACCATCACTCCAAATAATGTATTTGGGGAAAATAAAAACAAGGACTTGGGAGTGCTGGTGGATGAGAAGCTCAACATGAGCTGGCAATGTGCGCTGGCAGCACAGAAAGCCAACTGTATCCTGGGCTGCATCAAAAGGAGCGTGGCCAGCAGGTCGAGGGAAGTGATTCTGCCCCTCTACTCAGTTCTCTTGAGACCCCACTTGGAATACTATGTTCAGCTCTGGAGTCCCCAACACAAGAAGGACGTGGAGGTGCTGGAGCGGGTCCAGAGGAGGGCCATGAAGATGATCCGAGGGCTGAAGCACCTCTGCTATGAAGACATGCTGAGAGATTTGGGGCTGTTCAGCCTGGAGAAGAGAAGGCTCCAGGGTGATCTTATTGCAGCCTTCCAGTACCTGAAGGGCCCACAAGAAAGCTGGAGAGGGACTTTTTACAAGGGCATGTAGTGATAGGACAAGGGGCAATGGATTTAAAGTGAAAGAGGGTAGATTTAGATTGGATATAAGAAAAAAATTTTTCACTCTGAGAGTGGTGAGGTACTGGAACAGGTTGCCCAGAGAAGCTGTAGATGCCCCATCCCTGGAAGTGTTGAAGGCCAGGTTGGATGAGGCTTTGGGCAACCTGGTGTAGTGGAGGGTTTCCCTGCCCATGGCAGGGGGTTGGAACTAGATGATATTTGAGGTCCCTTCCAACCCTGACCATTCTATGATGCTACGATTCTGTACCTTACCATGCATTTTTAGCCATAAAAGGTAATGAAACTTCCTGTACACAAATACCTCCGTTCTCCCACAGAAAGACTTCATTTTCAGTCCCCACGATGTGCCCTGTATCTGGGCTCTAGCAGAGACCCTGTAGCCCCTGTCGGGTTCACCCTCAAGACATCGGGTTTCCCACCACGTTCACTGTTCTCTACTGTGAGAGACAACGACAACAACAGGTGTCTCAACAGGCGAGAGACACCTGACGACTCTCTCAGCTTCTCCCAGTGCACACTTAACTCTTACACCAAACCCTGAACCTTACAGAAACAGCCGTGGCTACCAGGATCAACGCCCAAACGCCGCTCCCTCGGACCGGAGGTCGCTGGGATCCGCGGGCCTCCGGCGACCACACGGCCGGCACGCGAGGCTCGTTCTCGGACACCCCCCTGCGGTTCCCTAATGGAACGTTCCGTTCGTCCGCGCCTAAGCCGACGCGCAGGACGTTCCACTGCGGGAGCAGGGCGGGGGGAAGGGCGCCGGGCCGCTGGAAAAGCCCGCCCAACGCCACGTCCCTCCCTCTGCCGCGGCCGCCGGGGGGGGCGCGACTTCCGGGCGCCGAGTTCGAAAGAGGAGGCGGGGGC